TGTATATATTTAATTAATCCATGTTGTCCTTTTTCCATGGGACAACTTAAAACAGAGGTCCAGTTTGTTTTAGCCACTCTTCAAAATGAAAAAGACAAGAGAACATGTCATTCAAGTAAGACTGTTGACATTTTAAAGTAGAGAACTGGATACTTAGATGGTGTGTATATATACAGAGTAGAGAAATAATCTATTTAAAACAATTAATTGTCATAAACAAGGCTAAATAAACACCCAGGTTTATTTTGCTACCACTGGCAGTGAAAATATTCGCTAAAGAAGTTGATCTCCAAACCTCACATTCAGATTTATGAATATGAAATGCTACTGTAGTAAAATGTGACTTTATTTTACGGTTGTTGTTTTTTTTTTAAAGGTGAGTAATAAACATGAAGGGAACTGAACTGCCAGGTCATGTTTAATTAAAGCTGAATGAGAAACATCTCTACTGATTTTGTTTCTTCAGATCGCAGGCCTTCGCTTCGTCTTCCTAATAAACCTGGAGCTCATCTCGCTGATAAAAGCTGAAGCTGCTAAGATGACACAGCAGTGAAAGGCCAAGAAGAAAAGGACTCGCAGTAACCGTGACCCTCAGTGTGCGACTCTTTAACAGACTAAATCCTGGAGCAACATGTTTAATGTTCTGTGTGGATGTTTTATTTTCTAATGCTGACACTCACGGTTCAGTCCCGCTGTGTCCAGTTTTTCAGAACGTTGTATTTAAATTCTCACACCAAGCTTTTTTTAAAAATAATAAACTTGTTTACCTTATGCCCTATTTTGTGTTTTTAGTGCTTTCAAGAGTCAAATCTGCATCTGAAAGAATAATTTCTTCTTCATGTTTGCTCAGTTTACCTCCTATCACAGTTTAGTGGTAAGAATTTCATCGTCTAAACTGTTGACTGCTCTTTAAGTTGTTCTTACAATATAAAAAGAAAATAGAAATAATCAGCACTCCAAAATTATCCAAAGGCCTTAATAAGACCAAAAATAAAACCTGTTCCAGCTGCAAGCCGTTGTTAGTCGAAAAGAACAAGAAAAGGTAAATTTTTTTCTTAAATAAAACTTCAGGTATACATGATGGTGGACTGAACATGATTGTGAGTTTTCTACAACCAGAGGGTCAGTTTTCTCCATAGACTAGATAAATACATGTATGTAAACAAAAAAAAAAATGAAAATAAGGAGGCATATTGTTTTTAAGAATATAAGTCACCTGGTGAGCAGGCTTCTTTTTATTATGTCCATATCAGACTTCTTCTGTAAAGCAATAAATACAGGACAGTCCATAAATCTGATCATCTTTAGCATATACAATATAAACGTGCTGGAATAATTCTGCACAAGTCCAGAAAGTTTCAAATAATTCCTTTTTTAAAAAGTTTTTTTTAGTTTATTCTGGAAAATCCGGTCATATTTAATAAGTTGGAAAATGTGTTCGAAAGAGGCTAATTCTACCTTCTAAAATATAAGTAGTAGCTAAACATAACTTTTCATTAAGTCTGTCTTCTTTTTATTTATTGGTTTGATATAATATTTTAATCTTAAATATGTTTTCATAATGTGGCCATAAATGTTATGTAATTATTTAGTTAAATAATTTTCTGCTTCTGTGCTTGTAAAGAGACACATAATTTTCTACAATATATTTAATATCTAAATGTTACAACTGCAAGTTGCAGTTATAAGCTCATAGAGGCTTTTCATCTAATTTGCATGAGCTTCTGGTATTTTGCAGGAAAAAAAAAAGTCCCTCATTGGCAGAAACACAAACCAAAAGACTTAAAGCTGTAACTGTGTGAAAGACAAACCTACAGAGTATTGACTGAAGCGAAATGTTTGCTGCTCTTTGGGTTTGTGTTACATTTTACTTCCACTTTACAGTTAAGAACTATTGTGATTTTAAAACAGACAAATGTGAAACACTTGAAGGGTTATGAATATTCCTTCCCGGTATTGTCGAGAAAAACACAAACACAAATAATCCAATTTGCTGTAAAATCCCAGAGGAATAATTTGGGTTAAGACCTAAGAAACAAAGTCCTGATGTTTTCTCCCATGTGTCTGTCAGCTGAGAGACAGCAGACCTCCGCCACCTGAGGGGAAGCTGAAGCTTTTATCGTCCAGACTGCAAACAGACCAACATTTCAGGCTTTAAAATCAATCAGTGAGCTCGCTGCCACCTTTGTTCGTGAAGAACAATAAATCAGAGCACCGTCTGGTGAATCCCCTGTTGCCATGTCAACAGTCTTCAGACCTGTTTTGACTGGGTTCATCAAACGTGGCGCAGCTTAGCCCGGCTAAGTCAAACAATGGAAACAGGCAACCCTGAGCCACAGTTTACGCAACAGCGCGGTCCGATCTGGACACACATAGTTGTCATTTTTTTCTTCTCAGATGTGTGTCATTCCAAATCACTAAACCTTCAGACTGAGCCCCTCACAGGGCCCTGAGACAGAGGACACAGAGACAGCAGGATAGGTTGGTTTAGTGGCAATAAAACAAATGTATTACCTCCTTTAACAGTATGTATATTTATCTGAGGTAAATTTTTTATTTTATATATACTGCAATAGTAAATAATTGTGTTTCAAACTGATTTTGACTGCTACTCTTTTCTGTCTTGGTGTTGTCTGTAAGTTGAGATTAATGTAATAAATCCATTAATCTCATGTGGAGCTTGTTCCATGTGGTTAGGTTAAAGTTTTTTTACCCCAGCTTTCTCTGTGAATAAAAACTTTTACACATTTAGTCACAGTACATCTCCAAACCTAAATATATTTTACTGTGATTTTATGTGACAAAAGGAAAATAATATGTGGTTTTCGCATTTTTAATTTACAAATCTGAAGAATATGACCTGCGGTTGTTTGAAGCAACTTCTTTGTTGCTATAGCAACAAAAAAAGTTCTCATTTAGTTTCTACAAGCTTTGACTGAAATGTTGCCAGTTTTGTTTGTTTGTTTGTCTGTTTTTTTGCAAAGTAGCTGAAGCTCAGTCAGACAGCAAATAGAGTGTCTGTGAACAAAAGTGTTCAAGTTTTGCCATAGATTCTCAACTGGATGTAGGTCTGTGCTTTGACTGGGCCATTCTGGCATTCTAATATGCTCAGATTATTATCAGTCAGAGAGTGAAGGCTGCAGTTAAGTTGCTGCCTCCGTATGAACCTTCACAGAGCTCTAACTTTATGCTTAAGGTTGTTTTCCTGCTTCAGGACTGACAAACTCCAATCCCTGGCGATGATGTCCTGCAGCTTGTTCCTGGAGTTACCTAGAAGGTGAACTTCCACCACAGTCTCAAGTCTTTTGCAACCTCTGACAGGTTTTCTAACTCTGAATTTATCTCCATGAATCTTCCCGTCAATCCTGACCAGGTTTCTTGCCCTTGTTAAAGAAAAAAAAAATAATTAAAAAAAAAAAATAAAATAATAATAATAATAATAATAATAATCCTTCTCCCAGCATGCCGTTTCCACAATTCACTCTGTGGATGGTGTGTTCATTGTAGGTTTTACTCCACACATAAGTTGTATGATTGTAAACAAAAAGGTTACATTTTGGATGCACCTTTTCTCACTCAGTTTTTCTGTGTCTCCCGTGATTTGGAAAATTGCAAACACAACTTGGATTTCTGTCAGGTATGGTTTCTTTCCTGCCAATTTGCATAAAGACCAAATTTGTGGCTTGCAAGCCCAATTAAATGCATAGTTTTTCACCTGGGATTGCTGGTTGCAGTTAAAAGTTCATAGAGGTTTTTTATCTACTTTTTCTTAGAAAAATGTGCTTACTTTGTAACAAAATTTACATTTGTGAGTTGAACAGCAGAATAATGTCTGAGATCCTAGATGTTTAGGTTTGACCTAGGAAACCTCTTCTCTAGGTAAAGAGGTTAAATAAGTTGTGGTACATGTTTAACCTGTGTCTCAGGTCCTTCAGGACGGAAGGATTCCTTTCCTTTCCAGGGATCTACTCATCTGAGTCGGTCCATGGCTGCATATAGGATAAACAAATATGTATTTTATGATCTATTCTAATCTTTTATGTTAATGTCACTTTATTTAAATATAGCCAGAATAAGTTCGCTCCACACAAATAATAAGCGCTAAATAAGTGCCCTACTTTCTCAGCCTTGTGTCATCACAAAGTCAGACATACTTGTTCTGGGGAATAAAACAGAATTAAAATGTTTTGTTTTATGTAAAGCATAAGAGTCTGCTTAAGGAGAACCGTTCTGAGATCAGCTGTGCCAAAAACGCACCACCTCATTCATGCTACTTGTATTTTTATAAAGCACCGCGTTACAGCTGATCTGGGTTCAGTTGTACCGGTGATCTGACGTTGCGTCGTTAATCAGTCTGTGCTACGTCGCCGCGCGCCATGGCTGTTCTGAGATCAGCTGTACCGGTATTTAGCGCGCCTCGTGCTCCGCTCAGTGTTTATGAAAAGGCTCAGTCTGGGAAGCAGGGGTCACTTCGGTGGAGCTTCATGGAAAAACATTTGTGAAGAAGCAGACGACAGGCTGACTACTGAGCAGTGAGTGTCCCGCTGTGGGTGGAGGAAGCTGGAGTTAGCCGTTAGGTAAACACAAAGGATGAAGCGGCTAGTTTTAACGTTAGCTTAGTTAGCTACATCAGTGAAGATGTTTACTATCGGACCGAAAGCTTACTCTTCATCTCCAAACATAAGCGGAACCGCCTGGTTTACATTTATGATTAGCAAAAATTTGTCATTGCTGACAATTCATATTTGTATTGATATTTATTTGGCTTTCTGGTGGTTTGTAGTTAAAATAATGCTCCAAAATTAATCAGTGTACTCACAGTTGAGGCTTGTTGCTATGATTGTGTTGCTGCGATATATTCAATAATGTTCTGCTCAAGATGCACAAATTAACAAAAAAAAAAAAAAAAAAAAAAATTTAAAAACCCAAGTTTAAAATTCTTGATATATATATTTTTCATATACTTGGCACAAAAAATAAGTACATTTGTGTTTTTAACAACAATGCTTCTTGGTAAATAAACGGGAGATTAATGTCTGACATCCTCTCCGTCAATGTCAAAGAGCTTTTGGTAGAGGCAGTGTGATGATGTGGGGTGATTAGACATGGACAAAAACAAGGCTTTTCATCACTGGAGGCAATCTCAGCCCATAGCGATGTCTAGATATGATTGTAACCAGCGGAAATCTCAAATACAACCCAACACCTCCCACAGAGGAAGATTTATCTCAGACCTCCAGAATTGGGTAGTAAAGATGATGGCATTGCTTTCTTGCAGTTCTGACCTCAACCCCACTGCTAACTTTAATCATTAAAAAAAAAAAAAAAATCACACCAAACAAGAGTCGGTAGAGGAACAAGCTGTCTGGCAGGATCAGACAAGCATCTCCTCCACTCAGCCCATTAAATGTCTCGTCGGAAGTTGCAGAGGAACAACACATTTTTTTGTTGCCATCAAAGTGCTTGTGGCTCAAATGTGGCTGGATGTTTGATCACTCTTCTCTGCAGAAATGGAAGAGTTCATTGAATTCCCAGCAAAGTTGAGGTTAAGGTTGCTTTATGTAACCACTACCATAGTAAGTAGTGTTCTTTGCTTTGAAAGTCTCATTTTTCTTGTCAAATACATCAATATTTGACTTGTCTTGAAAGCATTTGGTTTTTCCATGAGAACCCAAAAGTGTTGATCAAACAACACTTCCTTGTTGTGAAGGAGCTACCTTTTTTGTCAGTCTCTCTCAGTGGTGCCATAGTTATTTAGAAATGGGGCAGGACGATATGGCTGAAAAACACAGCACGATATAAGCGTGTCACATCAGTCGATATCGATAATTGATTAGTTTTTTGTTTTAAATATTTGACTTTGGCATGACCTTACCTGTTTTGTCCTCCATTCTTTCTTGAGCTGTTGTACTGACTTTCACCTTTCACTTACCGGTGTTCTTTTTATTTTTAAAGACTTATGAGACAAAGTGGCAAAACCTAAAACTGCTGCTGTGCAAGTTACTCAACAGCTTGTTGCTAGGTAACCAAAGAGTGAGTGAGTGAGTGAGTGGGTGGATGGATGCTACTCACCTAGCTTAGCTCACCATGAGGAGTTGAGCAGCTAAAGTTTTCCCTCTGCCTACATCCCCCAGAATGCTGTGCAGTTCTGGATTGGAGTTCAGTGAAATTAGTGAATCAATATTTTCTATTGATATTCATCGTGTGTTTATCGCAATATATATTTATTGATTTATTGTCCAGCTGTATTTAGAAATTGCTGAAAAATACTTTTCTGACTTTGTAAATCCATAATCTTCTTTCTTATATGTGTGCATGCTGTTAAACAAATCTTTTTTTATTTTAGTAAAAAACTTGATGTGTCATTTAGGACTTTTCAAACAATCTGCACCACTTATGAAGAGATCATCTGAGAGCCTGCACATGTTGTTGCACCGAAACTGAAGGATTTTCCAAACCTATTATTGCTGAGTAATTTTAATGTCTTTAATCATTACAGTTGTGAATGTTCACTGGGCATGAACAGGCAGTGTTCAGCCTTCACCTTGTAGCCATTCTGAGGTTCACAATATGGGTAATGGCAGATAGCTGCACATTAACATGCTTGTTGTAAAAAGAATATGGTTTTCCAGGTACAAAGTTGTAGACGGATGTGTTATCTCAGTGAAACTGCTCCAAGATAACCCTGTCTAATCTTAGACAGGGTTATCTTGTCTAAGATTAGACATGTGTGATTGACTGATAAAGCTGAGCTCTTCTTTTAGCTGCTTTATGAGCCTGCAGAGAGAGAGTTGCTCGTTTTCAAAGTTTGTACTTCCAGTTCCAGAGAAAAGCAGGAAAACAGGTTTATTCCTCCTGTCAGTCACAGATTTTTTTTTATCCTAAAGCGGCCCTGTTCACTTTATTATGGATGTTAAAGTACAAATTAAATTAGAGTTGCTTGTTTGTGTAATCTCGTTTTGTTTACTGTAAACGATGTGCATAAGGCATAACGCTTCCTCTGTCTTTGCTGCTCACTCCCCCTCAGCTGGTTGGCTCGCCTAGCTGGTTAAGGTTACAGCTGATTGGTCAGTTTAGTAGGAGGTAAAGGTTTAAAGGTTCAGTTTGATTGTTAATAAAAGCACATTTTTTGCTGAAAAGGTGAATAAAGTGTTCCTGAGCAAAGCCTTAGTCGGAATTTAAATGCTGGTTGTTATATTTGAAAACCGAACGTTGTGCACACAAGTGTAAAGGTTTAAAGCCAAACACTATGCTTTAAATTTTTTTTTTTTTACTCCTGCTTGTTTGACTATTGCATCATGAGAAAACTCATTCATCTTTAAGCTTCTCTGTGTTGTGGACAGTTCTTCTTCCCAGTGAAGATAATTTTGTGTAAAACTTTTACATGAGATTGTTTTGAGCTGAGCAGAGATTATGTATAATTCTCTAAAACAAAGGATATTATGTGAATGTGTATCTTTTTCCCCCCCCCCCGAACTTCATTAACCAAATGTTTTCCCAGGACATCAATGCAATGCTGCTTCTCAGGCGCTGCCGGAGCCTGACTCGACTTCAAAGGTATGCACCAGCAACCTGATGGTCAGCTGTTTTCATTACATTTTATCTCGACTTTGTAAAATGTGGCTTTACAGATCAATCCTTCTAAATCAAGTACAAGTTACAGAAGAGCCTAGTTCAATCCGTATTGAGATGTATTGTATTCTTGTTATTTTTTCTTAGGCATCAGGCGGCTCCTTGTTTTGCATCTCGTGCAGTTCGTCTCTGTAGCAGCAGCACGGAGGATCAGAGATCGCACCAGCGTGCCAACTGGAGTGCCAACTGGAAACGTATTGTTGCTGGGGTGCTGACTGGTACCGGGGCTGTAGTGACCTACGGTCTACTCCACCAAGAGGTCAGGAATGCATTGTAGTTTAAAAAAAAAACAATTGTTTTGTGGTTGGTACTAGTTTTTGCATTCACAGTTTTTTTTCCCAAGTTTTCTGCCATTAGAGATCATTAATTATTTCTAATTTGTCTTCAATCTGTCCATTGCCTGTCCCTCTCCAGGCAACAGACACACAGGATAAGCAACACTCGCATCTAAATACAATTTAGAGCAACAATCTGTCTGGATCAGTTGTTTTAATACTCATTTAAAAGTTTTGCCCTGACTGGAGTCATGGATGCCGGCATGTCTTTGTAGCTGACATATTTTCCTTCTACATTTATTTTTACACCTTTTGTGTTTTTCTGACAAGATTTACAGCAAAAAACAAAACGGCTTTTCAATGAGTAATAACTTCTACACTGAAGTCTGTTTTTTAGCATAAACTACTGGCTCTTATTTGTGGTGGATTCAGATGGGCAAAAAGGTGGGAATCCACTGATCAGGTTTGATCAGGCTGAAAGTGGGCCTGATCACCAGCAGATTGTGGAAAACACAGACCATTCTGGTCTGTGTTTTCCACACCGGTCCACTTGTCTGTTTGGTTAAATCATTTTAACCATATTTTTATCTGCTGCCCAGCTAGATGGTAAACACTCACAGGGTTTGTGCACCATCTGTTAAAGCCTAGGAAGGTGCTATATTGCTGAAATATATAGCGTTGTTTTTTTTTTTTTAAGTTTGTATTTTCAGATTTTATTCTGTCATATTGTTTTATTCCTTGTGTCCTACTTTCTTTCATTTTTTCTTTGCTTTCCTGAGTCTTCACTCCTCATCTTATCCTCCTTTTCTTATTATTCCTTCTTTTCTCTCTTCTTTCCTTCTATCTTTCTATACCTTATTCTATGTGACCTTCCAATCTTCTTCATTTTTCTTTTCTTTAGTGTCTTTGTTTTCTTCCTTGTCTTTCCCTTCCTGGCTAATACTGAATGTTTTATCCTTATATTCTCTGCTGTCTTTTCTTGTCTCCTTCCTTTGTTCTCTCCCTTTCCTCCTTATGTCTTGCCTTCTTTCCATCTTTCTTTCTTTCCTTGCTCCATTCTGATCTGTGTTTTCCACATTTAAAGCCTGCTCACTGTTAAAATAATTGTTACAGATTTATACTGAAATTTTGTGTTTTAAAATTGAATGTTGGCCTAAAGGTAAAAGATGTCTGGAAACGGGAAAATTCTTCACATACGTGCATACTAACAAGTCGAAGAAGAGATAAAAATTTTCTCTGTAGCTAAACATCTTTTCTGTTTACAGAGCTTTTTGTTGTAGCATCACTAATCCTGGTAAATCCTGCGTTTAATGTGCTTGTTTACCTTGTGTTCCTTCAGGGATTATGACTGTTTCAGAGAAGTATACGAAACATTAACCACTCGCGTTTGAAGCTGCTTAAAGATTAAAGCGATCATATGGGGCTTAGTTGTGATTGACTCAAATGAACACACAGGATTATGTTAGTATTATGTTTTACTACTCCTGGGCAATAAATCAATAATCTATAAGAACAGACAAGTGATCAATATCAATAGATAATGCATCAAATAAACTTCAATCCAACTCTTCTCATGGCCCAGTAAGCAAAATGTGTGGCTTCAACTAACTCACTCACTCTTTGGTTACCTAGCAACAAGCTGTTGAGTAACTTGTGGTTGCCTGGCAACAAGCTGTTGCGTAACTGGCACAGCAGCTGTTAAAGGTTTTGCCACTGTGCCTCATAACTGCTTAAAAATAAAACAACGGTGTGGAATGAAAGGAGAAAACGAGTACAACAGCTTGAGGGCAAACTGGATAACTATTTCAGATAATTAAAACAAAATCTAATGTCCTTAGATTGTGATAAATTTTTCAGCCATATGTTTTACTATGAACCATTTACTGAAAATGGTCTTAACTCGGAAAGTTAAAAGTAAATTTAGCTTGCAAGTAAATTTAAACATGAAACATGTTTCAGTATAGATTTATATGTTGGATAATACCAGTGTGCATCACTATGTACTGAAATCAGCATCTCGTCAAGTCCAAGATGACATTTCTGAGCGTTTGTTTTTTAAAGAAAGTGATGTCGGCTCTGTCCCTGTTCAGGTTGAGCAAGCGGACGCTGGCTTGCCCACCACAGAGAGGAGCTCCTCTCTTCCTGTCTTCAGCCACGATGAAGTCACAAAGCACCGCTCTCTGGAAGACGGCGTGTGGGTCACGTACAAGGGAGGCGTCTATGACGTCACTGAGTTTGTGCCGATACACCCTGGTGGGAATAAAATCTTGCTAGCAGCAGGTGGTGCCCTTGAACCTTTCTGGGCCCTGTATGCTGTTCATGACCAGGAATATGTGTTGGAGATCCTCTCACAATACAAGGTTAGACACATCAGTGTTGGTTTTCTTTTCAAAATGTAAAATGCTGCAGATTATTTGAAACTTGATTTTACTTTAAAACAATGCAGGTGCAGCGATCATGCAACAGAATCGTCCATTTTAAAAAGGATAATTTTGTCAATCTATGTAGAAAAAATTATATATTCAGGTTTAAGTGAAGACATTTTAGACCAGATATTTACAGAACCTGTCTGAAAAGTCACAACCTTCTTTCTCACTATCTGACAGTGAATCAGACCAAACTTGTTTTAGGTCAGTTAATATGATCCAAACTAGTTTGCTGAAAGTTTGTGAATGAAAGAGAATTCACAATAAATTCAGACTTGTGCTCCTACTTCTCTTTAAAAAGTGAATTGAGCCTAAAAAAGGACAAAATTGTTCAATTAAGTAACATGCCAAAAATGACACCCACAGCCATGCTGAGTGTATGAAAACATCTGACCAGTACCATAAGCCAAACCCAACAAAGATTAATTTTACATTTATCAGAAATGGCTTTATAACCATTGTTTATGTAGTGAACTGCAGACTCCATTAAAGAGTGTATATTTTCAAGTAATGTTATGAAAGAGTTGCACATATCAAAAATAACTTGAAATAAAAATTTGACTTTGCCTGCTCCTCCCAGTGCTATGTAGAAACAACCAATCGGAGCGAGGAGGAGGGTCTTAGCGCTGTCAATCACCCTCCATGTGCTGCTGCTCATGCTCCCTTCCTTCTCTTCCGTTTGCTCTGCAGCTCGCATAGCATGCTGTGAATACTCAGGCTAGTTAGCTTGCCCACCGATGACGGCAGATCAATGATTTTTTTAGGATTGTTAAATTGTTTCTCTGTCAGGTTGATTGAGAGCACTACGACCCTCCTCCTGGCTCAGATTGGTTGTTTTTGGTCGGGAGCTGTGCATTTCTTCAGAAGGCAGTAGCAGCTCAGGGAGAAGCTGGAGGAGAATGATCTCACAGATTATCTGTCTCATAACAAACTGTCACAACGTGGAGACAGTTTGAACAAATACGTAAAAATCATATTTTATTAAAGTTACGTACTGCAGCTTTAATGTAGCCTTTCTATTAATACAAAGGTTGGTGAGCTGAGTGCAGAGGACCTGAAGAAGCAGGGCGAAGCCAAAGCGTCGGATCCCTACTCTTCGGACCCCGAGCGCCACCCGGTGCTCCGGATCAACAGCAAGAAGCCGTTCAATGCCGAGCCTCCTCCTGAGATCCTGACGGAGAGTTACATCACTCCCCATGTGTTGTTCTTCAAGCGGAACCACCTGCCCGTTCCTCAGGTGGACCCTGCTTCATATCGCCTCCAGGTGGAGGGCCTGCCCAGAGGAGCACTGACTCTGTCGTTAAAGGACTTGAAGACCCGGTTCCCCAAACACACCGTCACGGCTACGATGCAGTGCGCCGGGAACCGCCGCAGTGACATGAACCAGGTAAAGGAGGTGAAAGGACTGAACTGGGGCATTTCTGCTATTGGGAACGCCAAATGGAGCGGAGCGCGGCTCAGAGACGTGCTACTGGCTGCTGGGTTTGGCCCAGACGTGGCCAAATGGGCCCGCCACGTTCACTTTGAAGGACTGGATAAAGATGTGACGGGGTCGGCATATGGAACCTCGATCCCCATCAACAAGGCCATGAATGAGGACGGCGACGTGCTGCTGGCGTATGAAATGAACGGCGAGGATATCCCCGCGGATCACGGCTTCCCGGTGCGGGTCGTGGTTCCGGGCGTGGTGGGAGCGCGCAACGTGAAGTGGCTGGGGCGGATTGTGGTCAGCGCAGAGGAGAGCAGCAGCCACTGGCAGCAGTACGACTACAAAGGCTTCTCCCCGGGGACGGACTGGAGCAAGGTCGACCACGCGTCCTCTCCGGCCATCCAGGAGTTGCCCGTCCAGTCCGCCATCACCGTCCCGGCAGACGGAGCCCAGATCGACCGCAGCGACGAAACGCTGACCGTCAAGGGCTACGCATGGAGCGGCGGCGGCAGAGAGGTGGTGCGGGTCGACGTCTCCCTAGATGGAGGCAAGACTTGGCAGGTGGCTCAGCTGAGGAGCGGGGACAAAGGTCAACCGGACGAGCCGTCGCCTCCTCCAGGTCGATCCTGGGCCTGGAAGCTGTGGGAGCTGACGGCTCCTCTTCCTCCTGACGCTGACGAGCTGGAGATTATCTGCAAGGCGGTGGATAACAGCTACAACGTGCAGCCGGACACAATCCCGCCCATCTGGAACCTGAGAGGCCTGCTGAACAACGCCTGGCACAGAGTGAAGGTGAAGGTCACCGAGGATTAGAGGGAGGCCCGGCCCAAAGCTCATCATCAGGGAGGGAGCTTTGGTTTGTGTCAGGCTGTCTAAAGTTTACAAAGTATTTATGTGATCTTGTTGCTTGGAGATTTGAAAGATGAAAGTTTTTTTTTTTCATATGAATAAAGTCAAACATCTCAACGGGATCTGCAGTTCCACACAGGACGTTCAGGGCGATGTAGGGATTAAAGTTGCACCGTTCAGGCTTTTCCTGATCAATACTGATATCTGGGTCTCTGACGTCTAACCTGCAGATTTAGACTTTCTTTTTTTAAAGACTGTAACCAAGAAAATAAAATATTGCTGCAGTTTCTTTGATAGCAGTAGTTGGGCTCTTTATAGATATTTTTAAAAAGGATATTATATAAAACTACATGCCTTTTGTCAATGAGGGCGAGTCAGACTAGTGAATGTCTTTATTTTTTTAACAAGTGATGGTACTGATTCTATTGTGATCAACTTTAGCAATGAGTGGGAGAAAATACAAATCCTTACATCTAAATAAAAAAGGACTACGTTTTAGATAAACAGCACATAATTTACAACATAACAAAATAACTGAGCAAGAAAAAAAAAACCGCTTGTGTATAATTTGTTTGGGATTTTCTCTGAAAACTGGAATTTCTTAATGCCTCTTTGTAACAATAGCTAATTTCTTAATTTGTTATAGCCGTTGTACAGGGGCCAAAGAGCTATTGGTTGGACCATAAAAAATAGTCATAATAGAAAATGGTGAGAGATCTTGGGTTTTGACGCATTTAGAGACTAAACAAAAAGAAACGGATCAGCTGATCAACACAAAATTGGCAAAATTTGTTTCTTTGATCGGAGCATAAGAAGTGATTTTTCTCAGCATTTATTACTGAACCTTTATTTTTGAACATGTATTGGGTTAACGTATTTAAATCTCTTCAAATGGGAACATTTTTAGGACATATTTAATGTTGCTGCCGCCATTACAGTTTATTTGAAGGTACAATTTTAGTGGAGTTGTTACTTTAAAGGTAATTTCTGTTCATGACAAAAGTAGCGATGGCAAAGTCTCCAGCTCAAGTATTTGTCCACTGAAGTTGTATTTAGGTTTAGATGTTTTTGATGCATCCATTGAAGAGTAGAAAGTCGTGCAAAACAGCGTGTTGGAGACCCAACAAACAGACACCCTGGGCAAGGTTTTAAAAGCTCTTTGTCACTGCAGTGATTGGGGCAGAAGACTGCTTGTGCCTGAATTGATGCAGTATTCAGGTTGGTGTTGTAATTACACAAGAGACCAGTTAAACTTGTTCTTGTTTTTAATGGGAATATTTCAGCTCATTAATTTCAGGTCATCAACACAGCCAACACTGTGTTGATGTCATTACTAAAAGTGTTGAATTATGTAAAGTACAACACCCTGTGATTGTTTATGATACAGCACTAATGGAAACAAGTATGGACTTAAAGAAAGGTGACAGAATTAAAGCCGTTTTTGACTTGGCAATGAGGAATATTTTGAACAGGGCCTGAAGTGTTGAGCCAAATATTCAGGTCTTATATTTCCAAGAAGGGAGCTAATTTTCTGGAAGTGTTTTTGTTCCGTTAAATCTGAATTACCGTATTTTCCGGACTATAGAGCGCACCATACGCCGCACCTACAAATTGGAACATAGAAACTGGTACATATATAAGCCACTCTCAGCTTTCCATATTTCCATGAAAATATATAATAAATCTGCTGAATTTATTAGATATTCTGTCTCCAATGCCGAACCATGGTTTCGTTCACGCCGGGTCTACGTGCAGCGGCTCTATTTCCCTCCTGAACTGAAAGATCGTTTACCTTCAACTTAAAAGCTGCATCATATGAGTTTGAAGAAATTTCTCCGTCGTGCCTGCTGCTAGCATGTGCTTGTTCTCAATGAAAATTAGCTCTTTGACTTCCAATGATTCACTTCCTGCTAAAGCGCCCCCTGGCGGTTGAAGAAAAATCCACAGAAAAGCCGCACCAGGCTACAAGCTGCATGGTTCAAAGCGTGGGAAAAAAGTCGCGGCTTACAGTCCGAAAAATACGGTATAAATGGTTACCTGCTGATGTGTCATATCCAGCAGTGCTTTTAAAATGCGTACTGTGCATTTTGAATTTGAGAATAGCGGAGATGATGTGGACTTCTAACCTGACTCCGACTTCCTTCTGCTGATTTTGTTGCTGCTCAGTGTGAAAACTGTCAGGGTGCCAAACTACACAGCACCTCCTGGATTCTCACTCTTGTTTTATATACCTGGTACATTTTGTTTTTTCATCATTTCTCACGGTAATGTAAGCTTAATGTTTTAACAATTTAGAATGGAAGTATATTTTTGCTATGCAGTCATAATCTTTTCATGCACTTATTTATTTTTTTAAAAAAGTGTCTTTTTTTTGTTTTGTTGCATTTGTGCACAAACATCTAATCTTAAAAAAAATGTGTTCACTTGAAAATACACCTAGTACATTTTTTACAATAAAATGTAGTCAGAATTTAGTTTATTCTTTCATGAGACCATTTGTAGTTAAAATCTGTTTCTTAATATCTGGGAATGAGACAAACTGGATTTGAAACCTAAACAGCCTCTCGGTGTGTTTGATGTTGGGCAGGAGGCAAGGAGGAAAGTTTCTTAAAACTCCTGATCTTTTATGTAAGAAAAGCCAGCGCACGCCTGTGTGTATATTTACGTGACCGGTTGTGTTATCTCTGTGAAGACTGAGTTTGCTTTTCGGCTTGGACATGATTCAGTCCAGATGCTCTTTCGTGAGCCTGCGACTAATAGAGATCCAGAGAAAGTAATAAATTAGAAAACATTCAGGAAGTTCTGTGATGCATCTTTGTGTGACTCATACAGAAGTAATGTTTGGATGAGCAGAAATGTTCTGCAGATAACCAAAAGAGATTTATTCATGCAGGACTGTATGGTCATTATCTACTCTCTAAAACTTTGACATAAATGAGAAAACTGGAAATAAAATATAAAATGATAGTGTATTTTTTGTGTGTGTCACCGTTCCAAGAAAAAAACTCCTTTTTTTTGTACATTTTTCTTTAATTACCAGTTTGCTCCCATAAAAATGACAAATACAGGAAACACAAAGCTGACTCTTCTCTAAATAAAACAAGTGCGTCACTTTACTAGTGGATTAAATCTTGTAAATGTTTTTCAGCGACTGAAGTTGTAAGAAACAAATGTGGGAGTAAATTATTTGTTAAAATTGGGTAAGAAGGTTTTCTCGTTTAACCAGAAAGTTGGAGTCCTTTAAAGGAGCAGTATTATGTGTTTTCCAGGCACATAGTGCCATTTTATAGCACAATCAAGTAACCGTGTCACCTTCATTTGTTGTAAAAATCCTGTTTACGTCAAATATGACTTAAAATAATTTTTACTTCCTAATTTAAAGCCTTGAAATTGGGCCGCTGTTTCTTTAAAAACTCCTCTTTCAGAAAGGAAGTCATCGCCTTTCTATTAACCCTTTAACAACATTTTTACGAGCATTGCAATGAGAAGTGGCTGATGTGAGCTCAGCGGGTGAACAGATCCACCAGGTGTTTGCTAATTGCTGCTGGCTAGTCTGAAGGAGCTCAGTGGGGGGGACCTGCTCTGTGAAGCAGAAGCTTGGAAACTGCAGGAAAAGGATAATTCTGCCTTTTTATAAATATTGTATGAGCTCCATTAGGTTGCTTATAGGTGGCAGATATTTACAGCTTGAGACCAGAAACGTTGCTTTTCTTGGGTTTAGTCCCTTTGCTGCTTTAAATAGGATACAAACTAGAAAAGTGTGAAGATGCATTTATTAGGTTTAGATATTAAGATCCGCCTTCTCTATTTTTACCTTATTGAGCAAACTATGGCACCACTCGAAGAGACTTAAAATTTATGTGGACTTGCCATTGGTTATGGTTTTTAAGCATCTGACAACTTTCTGAATTATGACCGAAATTTCAATTATTCTAGAAAGAAGTGGGAATTAATTCATAGAAATATTTTGCAGGTTATTCCTAAATGTAACAAAAGTAAGCATGTGTAATCCAAAAAGATATTTATCCTCAAAATCTGAACAGGCTGGACTGTTTGCTAGGTGTTAGCAGGTAGCATGCTTGCTAGTTTCCTGTTTTAATGTAAGACGGGATGTTTGTTGTGGGCTTAAACAGTTTCATGCTTTGAATCCAGCTGAATGCCACTGTAAAGGCTGGTTGGTAAACCAGCTATTCCATAAAGGCTGGTTTACATCAGACATCAAATCTGTTGTAACTAGGACAGACACAGGAAACACAAAGCTGACTGTTCTCCAAGTCACACAAATGTGTCATTAGAGTGGTCAATTCAAACTTGCAGATGTTTTTCAGTGACGTTTGGTTTTTGTACACTGTGGTATAAAATGACTTATAAACTGCAGCTCCTTTACTCTAAGGGACTTACAGATACCACACAGTGGTAATGTGATACCTCCAAATCCAAAAGGTGTTTTAAAGGCGAAAAGGTTGGTAACTTTGATTTGACATCACAAGACGCACAAGAATTAGGCAATATCAGATGACATTAGTTAAGACTATGGTAGGCAGAGATTTTTGTCAGATTTGAACATGGACACAGAAACATTCACGCTGCATTGAGCTGCAGGAGAAATCTGAAACAAATAGTGAAGATGATGATCATCTTTAATTGATTCTGTTTAATATTCTTTGTTGAATTTCTCTGGTGGCTTTCAGTGCATATTTGCTGATTATAAAAGGAGTAAATATCGTATGTCTCTTTTCTCACCTTAGATAGTTGTGCGATAGTCTGCCTGTTTGGTGATTGTGTTTGGCGGAAGTAGCAAGTGATCCAGCACTTTTGCAGGACATATTGTTGGTACTTAGAAACCCATCAACCAGGACATGTGGTTTTTATAACAGCGTGGCTTCCTGTTAATGCTGTAAGAACTCAGCAAATAAAAACCAGCCTACACCGGGTCGTCTCTAGAAACCACTTCCATGTGTTTTATTGTCGTTCAGCTCAAATATGTTTTGCTGCTGCTGTAAAGAAAACAAGTTAACCCTTGCTGATGATCTGAAAAAGTAAGCAATGATTTACAAATGAAATAGCAAACAGCCTTAAAACCTGACCATTTAGGGAAAACATCTATAGCTATTTGGATTTATTGTTGAGAAAACTTTGGCTGGTATCTTTAAAATGGACAAAGACTCAACATCCAGTTGCATAACATTATGAAGTAAAATGAGAAATACACATTGTTTTCAAACTTTCGCTGGCATCCATTTGTATTCAGCCCTCTTTACCTTGACACCCTTAAACAAAATCCAGTAAAACAAAATGCTTTACCGATATCCAATGGACATCTTCCGGAGAACTGTTCAGTCTTTCATCTGAAATGGAGGATAGCTCAAGCTCCTACCACAGTTATTCAATAGTTGATAGGCCACAGATCTGGCCTTTAACTGTGTAACATTTTAGGAGACAAAGCAAAAATGTGCAAAAGTGCTGAACAAGAACAAAAGTGAACTTTTTGACAAAAGAT